GAAAGTGCCCCCCCCCCCCCCCCCCCATTGGTACAGTTTCTCCTCCAAAGCTTAGATCAGAGGTCCTAACTTTAATATAGTGTTTGTGAGGGCATTTTCTTGGAGCAAGCATGGACACTTTGGTCAGTGTGTGGTTTGGATAAATGCAGTGAGAGCCATAATGAAGCAGTGTCAAGGTATTTGTAATATGTGCCGCATTCTGCGTTTTGGGCTCTTCACAGCTAATGTATGCACTAATGTGATTGCAGCCTTGTATCTAATGATGCATGACTAATCTGTGGCTTACTGTGGGCTTCTGCTGCTGTGGGGTGAATCTGGGAAGCTATGGAAAGCAGCTCTGTTGTTGGGACTCTATAGGAGTTTGACTTGCATTAGGTGAACCTTTCTTCACTGCCAAAGAGGCTCGTCGTCCACCTCCATTGCCTTTGAGTAACATTCTCTGAACGCTGCCATGGCATGTGAGAGGAGTCACTGCAGGTAAAATGTCATTAAGCATTCGGGGGTCCTTCCGTTGCCTGAGTGCATTTGGCAGACTGTAGAATACTGTGGAAAGGTGCTAAATTCACTCCCAGATGTTCTGGACAGTGAAGCCTGCATGAACACCAAGACCCCACAAGCTTTCCTGTGTTAGCTGTTCTGGTTTGACCCGGTTCAGTCCAATTCATAAGTGCCCCTTTTACCTGACTTCACGAGAGTCATCCCAAGCTAAGAGCTTTCTGTTACCTAATGTAAGATCTGTCTGAGTGCCAATAGGAAGCTTGTTTGTGAGCACTGTAGGGTCATCGCCCCTTTTACGGTAGTGGTGTGTAGCTCAGTGGGATAGGACTGTGCCGGTGATCAACAGGTTACTGGTTTGAATCCCAGTGCTGGCAGACGTTGCCATTGGTCCCCTGAGAGAGGCCCTAAACTTCCAGTTGCTCCAGGGATGCTGAATGCTGGCCAGCACTGTCCTTTTCTCACCTGTATATGTGTCTGGGTGTCACAGAGAGAAAGATGGGATAATCAAAAAAAAAACAATTTCCCCATGAGCATGAATAAAGTGTCACTGTTATGTATTCTGCTATTCTGTGCTCTGGGAAGTGTGATCAGGCAGTCTCTCTGGGTGATCATTCTGTCACGTCCGCCGTCTGCCTCACTCTCATCTCTTCTCTCCCTCAGAATGGTGGAGATCTCGAAGACCCCTGGTAGCCGTTGGGCAGAGGTCCTCCCCCTACCCCCACCTGAGAAAGTCCTGAATTCACACAAAACAGATGATGTCGCTATCTGTCTGCCTTCTCCCCTTTGACATGTCCTGCAGATCAATTGGACCATAAAGTTTAAAACAATCACCGGGAAACACAGATGCTAACTTTTTTTTTTTCTTCCTGTTTTAAGAGTCAGACAAGGAACTTAGATGATAAAATGAATGAGAGTATGTGGTAAAGTATTTTTACTTTTTGTTGCTTTTGATGTTTTTTTTTTTTGTTCCCTTTTGCAACTGAAGAGGATGAGGACAGTCTGAGGGAGGACTCACGGCTGGACGCTTCTGCCCGTATGAAATGCGGTGCCTTTCTGTTCTTTTAAAATAAAGATTCTGCAGATGGGAGACAGTTTGCCCCACGGAGGTCCAGTCCCTGATCCACTCCAGACTGGGGATGGGGGGGACAGCGTGGGACCACCAGTTTGCGAGGGTGCTGGGGGACGCTATGCGCACTCGCTGCTTCTAGGGGGGTCCTGATACAGCGAATTTGACAAACGCATGTATCACTTTTTTTTATTTTATTTACAAAGTGGCTGGATTATGGCTTTATTTGTTTTGAAAGAGTTGAAGATTGAGAGCTTCTGCAAACCCCCCTTCCCCCAATCTCCACCTCCCCGCCCTAGCCCAACCCGCGCCCTGTCTGCCCCCCCCCCCCAGTCAGGCTTGGAGGAGATCTCTCTCCTGGAAGATATCTCACTCTTCTGTTTCCGTCACAAGCCTTTTATCCTGCTGTTGAGAGGAGAAGAAAAAAAAACATATATAAATATATAAATATATATACAGATATATATTTTTAAGTTCCCCCCCTTTCGTTTTTCCTGTCGTGTCAGATGTCACGTACTGTGCTTGCTGTATAAAAGGTAAATAAAACTCACCAGAAAATGAGAATATTGAAACTATATAGATACTGAAAAGCTGTGGGTGTGGAAAGAATCTTTATGGGATCGACGCATGTGTGCGAGGACTCCGGGAACGCTGGGATTTCTGGATGGATGAGTCTTTAACACCTATCAGCCTGTCGGGGTTTGTCCCGCCCCCCGGTCTCTCTCTACCGCTGGCTCCCGTTTGCACGACGGTGGTCTTGCATCAACTCGCCTTTATTTTCCTCTTATAATATTGTAAAATTGTGATTGTTAAATGATTTTTTTCTAAACAAATTGATTTTTAAATGTTTTTTTCTTGCAGATGCAGAGTATTGTGTGACATGGTTCTGTTTGTGATGTTCAGAAACAACACAAAAAAGTATATTGAAAAAACAGAACTAATACTCAAAAATAAAAATTAAAAATGGTTAAAGTCAGTTTTCCTCTAGTTCTTTTGGTGAATGAACGACAAGGTAATGGGGGTATGTCTGCGACTCAGGCTGAATCATTTTTCTTTTTTTTTCCCCTGACCCTGAGAGGTGACATGGTACGAAGTCTGGTTGCCATATAACTATTAGGTACTTGAATATCTTGTGTGTGGTTCTATTTTTGCAATAATATTGATTTTTATGAGAAGATTGTGAGCTGTGCATGTGTTGAGTTGGGATTCCGCTGTTTAAGGAAATGACAGAGTTACAAATGCGAGGATCGGTTGTCGAACAATGAATGTATTCACCAAGGCGACGGCGGATACGTGCTGTGGAAGCCTTGTGATGACTTCTGATTTCTTTCCTATGTTAGTCTGTCAATTCATGATATTACTTGCCCTCGTGTGTAGTTTCTAAAACTGCATTTCCAAATGGATTATGTGAAATTACCCTTCCTCTTTTCATTTTGTTTGATTCCCAACCCCCAGCCATACACATAACTGTAGCATTTTGCTGGAACGCTTCCTGTGATAAGACAAAAGTAACTGATTGCAAATGAAAATAATGATAGATTTTTTGTGCTTACGGTGCCCGTTGTCACTTACCCTTACCTTTTTTTGTATATCTACAATTATTGGTATATAGAATAATTATTTCAACAATATATTTTATTTATTCCTAGATTTTAGCCTTGTCAGTGAAAATTGCTGTAAATGAGATCGGGATAAGATGCGTACGGGTGCACGTTCGTGTCCCTCCCTTAGTGTGGGGGACGGATCCGAATGGGTCGGTGAGGTCTGTGGAGGTACATGGGCAGCCCAAGTGCCCTGTTTCCCTGTGTGTTCACCTTAACTCCTTGTACCGATAGTTCCCAGTATGATATTGTGATGTTTCATACCATACAGTAAACATAATCACCTTATCTTCAATAAAGGATTGCTAAAGATGGCTGTCGTCGTTCTCGTTGTCTTTCTTCGCAGTGCTCTTAATCCCCCCTCGCCTTTTTCCGTATAATTACGAGCGGATTGGTAAAGTGCATATGGTCATTAATGTCCTGCTTGATTTCAGGCTGACATTTTCCATTCAAATGTTAAGATCGCTTTAATAACGTGCTTCTTTCATAATGTCATTTTTAGCACGGTTGCTGTGAATGCACTAGCGTAACTACAGGTGGAAATAGGGACCTTTCGCTAATGTTTTCAGCAAATATATTTTTTGATTTACTGCCCACCAGATCGATTCACATTGAGGGTTGTTTCCCCTTGATAGCTTTGAAATTCTCCGATGAAGTTTTTTATTCTAATCTGCATTTTACAAGATTTTATTTATATATATATATATAGGCTACACACACACACACACACACACACATACATACATACATGCTGTCCAGCCTGATAAACATGAAAATGTAACGTGTGTGCACAGTATACCCGTATTTCGCTAAAACTAACACGAGCTGCCTACTTAATAGTTTTATTACAGAAAGCGTGCATTTCTTTCGTAGAGCAGGTTAACCGGACGTATGTTTCAGCTTTGGCTGGGCTTCCCGTACAGAATATTCTTGGACAGTGTTTGGTTTTGCTAACAATCAAGATATATAGGTGATTTCACTTAATTATCCCAGGTAAATGACGATGAATTTTTTAATTACAATGTTAAACTGAAAATTGTCATTCTGCTTAAAATGCATGACAACCACCACCCAACCCGTCAAAATTTGTCAAAATAGCATAAAGTTTTTTTTTATGAAGCAGGTTAATTCATAGAAAGTAGCAGTTGCCTGATTTTGTTAATAGGTAACTTGTTAAATGGATCCATATTTTCATTTCAATAGAATTTCAGCTAGCAATAGTAAAATATTGGTAAGTTTTGAGAGACGTAACGTTCTTCTCTCAGAACATGGCATACCGATTGCCTCCGTGTGAGACCGAGAGGCGGAGGCTTGTACTCTGCACCCGACCTCTCCCTCTAAAACCCGGTAGTCGGTGCTCGAACAAGAGCACTTTGTTCACATCAGTGCGGGGGAGCCGGGACCTTGTGAGCTTTTCGTTTACCCACACCCCGGAGGAGACCTGTCCTGCCCGCGCCATGCCTTCAGAAGAGCCGAATGGGTGCTCGATGGAACTTAAGGAGGGTATCGACAACTCCACCTTCCAGGACGAGGAGTCCGGAGATGTGGAGCAGGGCTGTGCTCCGGAGGAGACCGCGCCACAGGAGGATCGGGACAGCGGGTTCAAGCAGATCAAACCCTACGCTGGCATGCCGAAAGAGGTCCTGCTGCTGTATTCCAGCCAGCCGTGCTACCGGCTGCCCCGGGAGATTCTCTTCTGGCTGACGATCATGCTAACCCTGGCTTTGATCGCACTGACCATCACGGTAATCGCCTTGTCTCCACGGTGTCTTAGCTGGTGGCAGTCCTCCACTGTATACCAAATATACCCGCGCTCCTTCATGGACTCGGACAACGACGGCGTGGGAGACCTCAGAGGTACCTGTTTACTCTGCTTGGAAACTAGCCGTGGGGTGCGAAAAACTTTTCACTATTGCCACTGAACCAATTAGACTTAAAAAAATAGGAATATTATTATTATTCCATGTTTGCCACTCATAAAAATGAGATTATTGCTTGAAGTCATTACAGAAGCAGTATTCGGGATTAGAACTTACATCTTCACTTAACTGCTCAGATTTAACTTCCCGCTGATTTTACAGGCCTGCATTAGACGACCATAAAGTTCGTGCTCCAAACAAGCATAAGCAGTTTCCTGGAAGGAAACCTAATTAAAATCCTTTTCGGAAAACTGCTATATGCGCCATCTGGTCGATTTAATGCATGGTTTTAGAGAGCATTCATAGGCCAAGCTAGGTTTTACATTAGGTGTTGTCACAGGCTTGGTCTTCAAAACCCATAATTAGTGATGTAATTATTGAAAGGTCAGTCAGCCTCTGAGTGTCGTCTTATACTGTCACACCTGTATTAAGGTATCAAGGAAAAACTGGATCACTTTGAGTACCTAAACATAAAGGCTGTGTGGATCAGCCCTTTCTACAAATCACCCATGAAGGACTTTGGCTACGATGTGGAGGACTTCCGCGAGATTGACCCCCTCTTTGGGACAATGCAGGACTTTGAGGATCTCCTGGCTGCAATGCATGACAGAGGTGAGTGTTAGCTGACTAGCATCACTTTGGGGACAATGGTTCTGAAAATGTGACATTGCCTTCCTGCTCCCCCCTCCCCAGGACTGAAGCTGATAATGGACTACATCCCCAACCATACCAGTGACCGGCACCGCTGGTTCCAGCTCAGCCGGAACCGTACGCAGAATTACGAGGATTACTACATTTGGGCAAACTGCAGTAGAACCAAACCGCCCAATAACTGGGTGAGTAGAATGGTGTTACCATGGTTACAAGAGTAAAATGTCACATTTGTGCAGTGAAACCCCATAAGCATGTTTCTCTGCAGGTGAGCATTTTCGGGAACTCGTCCTGGACCTACGATGAGGATCGGGGCCAGTGTTTCCTACATCAGTTCCTGAAGGAGCAGCCCGATCTGAACTTCCGCAACCCTCGGGTCATCAAGGAAATGAATGTACGTTCATGTCCCCCCCCCCCTTTTTTTTAGAGACATGCTCTGAAAGTCTAACTCGGCTAATGGGCGAGGAAAAGAGGCAGCTGCTTGCTACTGATCTGAATCTAGGCACCCTGCTGATGTTCTGGAAACACAACAGAACCAGCCACACAGGCTGTCACAGAGGTCCCATTATGTCCTGTGCAACAGCACTGTAACCCTATCTCCAGCCTGGGGACTGTCTTTTCAGCTCCCCTTTCCCATGAGGGAAATTTGTCTGGCTTTTCAGGCCCTGAGACAGTCAGAAATTACCCGCACAGAGCTGAGGGACAATCATAAGTTTTCTCACTAATCACACGAACAGGGTGATGAGGTCGAATTTAGGTGTGTATAGGGAGGTGAGGGTTAGGGTAACGTGAAACAGGTCGTAGGAATATGTAACCACATTCAACATAGTTATTGATTATATGGAACATCCACCATTGCTCATTACCTTCCAGAGCGATTTTACAACTTGGACAGGAGAGTAAAGTCCAGTAGAGATGAAGATGCCCAGGTCTCTGGCACTGGATACCAGTGTGTCAAAGGGTTGTTGTTCAGAGTCGATGAATCTATCATGTTAAAGCAGAAGGTGAATGACAGCAGGAGGAACCATTGACAGAATCGTGGTGGAGTGACTGGGCATCTGTCCACACAGGGCAGTGTTTCTGTAGACCTCGCATCTGCACCAGTCTGGTTTTGACCCATCTTCTTAAAATTCAGGATGTCCTCCATTTCTGGCTGGAGAAGGGAGTTGATGGATTTCGCATGGATGCTGTGAAGCACATGCTGGAAGCCCCCCACCTGAGGAATGAGCCCCAGGTTGACCCTGAGCAGCCCCCTGTAAGAAACGCCTCATTCTCGCACCTTCCCAGCCATTCTGCACAAACGGGACATCTCGATTACATCACATGCTACCTGACATCAACATTACTGTAAAAAAGACATTTGGAACAAGCATGATATATAATGCGTTCCACTTGGAAGCTTTATGCATTGTTCTAAAGGCACGTCGTGCACCTGACACCAGGCAGGGAAGCTTTTGTACTTTGGCCATATCCCACAGTAGGTCAGGGGCATACAGCCAATGCCAACTGAAAAGGGATTAACCGGGGCGTTTTTCTCAGGATCTGGCCACAGTTCTCCTGGTACCCTAATCCTAGGAAATAACACGATGTCTGAGGAAAGCGGAGGAGCTCCTCTAACAGGCTTGTTGTCTGCCCCCACCCCAAAAGGACACCGTGGACACAGAGTTTGAACTGTACCATGACTACACAACGTCACAGCCTGGTCTGCATGACATCATACGAGGGTGGCGGGTGGAGCTAGACAAATACAGCCGGGAGCCGGGGCGGTACAGGTCAGAATCATGTTCCGTACTCCCTGGTCACCGAGGCAGCGAGACAATCTGCCGTAGCCTTTTGTTCACATGATCCATCAACTTTGTAGGTTCATGGTAACGGAGTCCTATGACTACGAGGAGATCGATAAGACCATGATGTATTACGGGACGTCGTTTGTCAGGGAAAGTGACTTCCCGTTCAACTTCTACCTCCTATACCTTCCAAAGTACCTGTCTGGTCAAGGGGCCTTTGATCTGGTCAACCTGTGGATGTCCAACATGCCTGAGGGAAAGTGGCCTAACTGGGTGGTAGGTGACACACTCACACTTCACTGCGCTTCACATCACGTGTGGTTTGCAGTGGCGAGTCAGTCGAGCCATTAGCTTTGTCTTTCTGTCCCCGACTTATAACATCACCGCGGCTTTCTGCGATTAGGTTGGCAACCACGACAAGCCTCGCATCTCCTCGAGCGCGGGTGCCGAGTTTGTGCGTGCCATCAACATGATGCTTCTAACCCTGCCCGGGACGCCCACCACGTACTACGGCGAGGAGATTGGCATGGAGAATGTAAACGTCACAGAGATACAGGACCCCTTCGGCAAATTTGACCCAGTAAGCGCCCTTGAACCTGTACTCTTCCTCTTCTGTTACTTGCTGTCCGCTCTTATGACTGCTGTAGACAGCGTTTACCAGCCTTAGTGTCCTCTCTGACAGAACTCCACTCGGGACCCCCAGAGAACCCCCATGCAGTGGAGTGCTGCAGAAAATGCCGGATTCAGCACCAACAAAACATGGCTCCCCGTGCATCCAGACTACAAAACGGTCAATGTGGAGGTACAAACTGTGCCGCCTTCTATATTTCTGTATTGCTGACAAATTCAGCAGCAAAGCTGCTTCCTGTGATGCCTCGTGTTACAATTGGCTTGACTGTTGTGCTAATGTGTTGAGGAGACTTCATTGCATATTATCTTCCTCATGGCTGTTCCTTGAGCTCCACCTCCGCCGGTTTCCCCCCCCAGGCGCAGAAGAACGAAAGTGAATCAGTCCTTCAGCAGTACCGGGCCCTCAGCCTGCTCCGGGAGGCCGAGCTGGCCCTGCAGAGGGGCTGGATGTGCTACGTGTGGAGCGACAAAGACGTCTTCGCTTTTGTGCGCGAGCTGGATGGCTTATCGCGGGCCTTCCTGGTGGTGCTCAACTTCGGCCGTGACGCCGTCACGGACCTCTCCTGGGTGGCCGGGCTGCCGGATGAGCTGACGGTGCACATGAGCACGCGCTACGCTGCACGGGGGGAGCGCAGGCGTAAGGCCCGCCTGGAGACGGCCCGTGGGGAGGGCCTGCTGCTGGAGTACTCCACCCAAAGGCGCCTCAATTCCAACCCCGCCTTCAAGTGCTTCGTCTCGGAAAAGGCCTGCTACCTCAGCGAGCTGGACATCCTCTACAAATGCTGAACGAATCAGCAGCGGCATAGGGAGAGGGTGGCAGCAAATGGGGTATGAGCCAAAGATGACTTCTGGCGTGTTACTCTGCTGTATCACACACATTTTAAAATTGAAAATTCACTTGCCTTCACAGACACATATTAAAAAGAAGCATTTCACCTCACGGGAGCGTCGCACAAGGTCTGTGTTTCAAGGTTTACTGTCCCTCTGGGGACATTTTCCAGAAATAATAGCCTCACAATATCTGGTAATAGGCAGACAGGTAGGTGCACACACTCAGTCCTTAGCTCTCTCCCACAGTGGTGTCAAGCACACACATAATCAGCCAATCAGTTTCCCACCACCAGCATCTACATAAATCTGTGCCCAGGCTTCTGTGGTCTCCTGCCTGTGCACAGTGGTAAAAGTTATACTGATCCTCTGTTTTTAAGGTAAAGAGCCACTTTCACACCTGTCCTCAGTAACCAGGAAACTGTTCTCTTCAATATTCATCTTGTTTTTTATTTTTTAATTATTATTCATGTATTGCTCGATCTCAAGTTAGATTAACAAGTGCTGCAGCATGGTCTGTGTGAGGAGCAATACACACACACACACACACACACACACACACACACACATATACATATATACACCTCAGGCTGCTGTTAGTCCTTGTGTCTGCCACGGTCCAAGCCTAGCTCACCGTAGAGGAATGCAAGCTGCCTGGCAGTCTGGGGGGTGGGGGGTGGGGAGAAAATACAACACAGAGGTAATGATCAGTGAGGTTCTCAGCATTTTGCAACGCTGGCTCATGTAACTTGTTCTTTATAAAAATGATCAAAAAGGCGGTTTCTGTTCTTCTAGTCATTCACTGGGAAGTGTCTAATTGGGGGTGTTAAACTCCACCTCATTCAGTGACACCTCCAAGTCGTCTGGCCCGAAATGATCTCCTCCAGGCTGCAGGTCCAGAATGACAGATGGCGGAGTTTTTGACCCTAGAACCAACATGGAACCGTCGGCCTTGTATTATTTTTATTTATTATTTAGGCTAGTCAGTTTTGACCAAAGTAACTACTCTGCATTTTGCAGTTTAACTCTCTACCCATTTAAACACATAGTAGTTCAATAGTGAGGGAGTGCTCAAGAAGCACTCAAAGGTACAAGAGCCGGACCATTCCTACGCCATAATCAGCCATCTGCCTGTTAGCTGTTCCCCTGCCTTAACCTGTGCCGTGTCCAACACTTCCCTTTAATGCTGTCTGAATAGACTCGCTCATCCATAAGTCACGGCCAGTCTGAAAACTGTTTATCTGTGAAAAAACACCCAAGTCGGCCTTTTCAAGCCTGGAATCTAGTCAAAGTTTAACTCCTGCTGCGTTTTGCAAGCCTCGTCGACCTTGACAGAACGAGCTGCATCCTTCCTTATCTCTCCTCCTGATAGCGTCTAAATGGCCCCCGGTGTGTGTGGAGGTGGTGGAGGATCAGGGTGGTGTTATCTAGCAGCATGAGATTAGAGTGACACTTTTTATGGAGGGGAGAAACTCTCACCGATGGGGAATTAGCTATGATTTGCTGACAGTGGGATGTGGAGAGGCTGAGCTGTACCCCGCGGGCTCACGGCGAATTTGCTGAGCAGACCGGCTGATCTCAGTGGTTTGTCAGCGCTGGCTACGACCTCCCGTACGCCTGCTGAAAGACACGCACGTGGGGTCTATGCCTCACCTGGTGTGGTGGCACCTCCAATGTCAGCGTGTGCTGCTGCCACCAGCCTCTCTGCATACCTCAGCACCCCCTCCAAGGGCACCCTCCTGTCACCCTCGTAGGCCGTGATCAGCATGGATGGGTACCGCTGTGTGGAAAAGAAGGTGTGTGTCCCAGTTTGTCCCAGCTTAGTGGATGAACAATCAAGTTCAAACTACTATTAGGATTTTAAGCCGGGATGGATGGATGGATAGATGGATAGCAGGGCTCCAAATGGCGACTGAAATGGTCGCAATTGCAACTAGATTTTTTCATTCCAGTCGCCAATGGCAACTGCCTCTCACAATACAAGAAAAAATAAAGCAAGAAAAGAGGCAGCTTTTAATTATGGACACTCTTAACCCACGTCTGCCTTTCCTGCTACATTATCACGTGATTACAGCGTGGATCCATCCAGATAGATTGATCAGATTGGGCGGGTTTTGAGAAATTGGTGCGTTGGAAACTCTTCACGCTATCTGGCAACCTGTTGTAGAGAGTATGGAACCCCAGAAGGATCACGGAGGGGAAAAAAAAAAAAATTGACAGCTGGGGGAAAAATGGACTGGGATAGAATTGGAGAGATCCTGCAATACTTTTCCGTTACCATTAATAACTGCACTATGTCCGTTTAAAGTACAAAAGACAGAATTTATTTATGAACTACAAGTACAATGAAGTACAAACCTCCATCCATTTTTTGAAACTGCTTGTCCTATGCAAGGCTGCAGGGGGTCTGGAGCCTATCCCAGAGGCTACGGGTGCAAGGCAGGGAACAACCCAGGATGGGGCGCCAACCCATCACAGGTCACACTCAGCACATTTTTGGACTATTGGGGGAATCCCCACAAGGACACACGGAGGACAGGTAAACTCCACTGGTGGGGATTTGAACCCAGGTCCCAGTGGTGTGAGGCCCAGTGCTAACCCCTGCACCACCATGCTGGCCCTAAGTATAAATCTATATGACACAAACACATCCTGTAAGGCATGCTTTAAGCATTAAACTAGCATTAAACTATGGGGGACAATGCACACCATGTAACTTTAATATTCATAATTTTCATGGACATAATTTTCATTGTGTCCATTCACCGCCACTGACTTTGACAGATGGGCTATTGAACATGAAGGGCAGACATCAACACTGAAATATATCACAAACATCGAAAGATATTACAGCTGGAAAAAAGCTTAATCTACCGTGTAGTCAGAGTTATGGTTTAAACTCGACCAGCTTTCTGTAATATATCAGTATAGATCTGCATATCCCCACATACATCATCGAGCGGGAATTCCAGGGAGTCATACCTGAAAGTGGGTTTGGGTTTAAACTCTAACTTTGACACTGCAGTAAAGTTTTAGCTTTATAGTCAGTTTTCCGGCTTTAGCATCTTTCAACAAAAGCAAGAAACAGCCCTTGGTTTTCCAGTTTTCCTTACAGGCAAATTTTGATTAATATTTCAATGTTTGTGTCTGCACTTCGCGTTCAATAGCCCAGCTGTCTTGCTTACATATTGAATATTATATATTGCATATTTCTGTGTCATTTATTGCTATGTTATGTATAAGAATGCAGAAGGGAACAGTAGGCAGATCAGGTAGCTCAGACAGGAGAAAGAAAAGGCAGTGTGAGGTAGACTGGAGACAAGATGTGCCATGTAAGTATTTTTAAGTTATTTCACATCTGGCATGTAATGGTGATTAGGGCTCCTAGAAAAGCGTTTGGCTCCTAAATATTATGGATTTAGGAGCTAATGGCTCCAAAAGTTTTTTTTTTCTGGAGCCCTGGATGGATGGATGGATGGATGGATGGACGGACAGACATTAAGATTATAGCAATGCCATTCTTAGGTGTTAATGCTTAGAGAGACTGCAGGCAGCTCACCTGGGGCTTGATGTTGTGACATGGGCAATAGGAGGCCACAGTGTCACGCTGGTGGGTGTCGGCCAAGGGGTCGCCCCACTCTCCTCTGTCCTCGATGGTCAGGGGAAGGTTGGGGTCCTGCATGGTGCCCAGGACGTCCAGAAAGGGCGCCTGAGCAGGCAAAGAACACTGACTGTGATAATTAACATTAATCAGTAAGTGTGCTTCCGTTTAACTTGGCCACAGAAATAGGCAGGGCCCCTGCAGGTGTATGCCTCACCTGCAGACTAACAGTCCGCAGCAGCTCAGGATACTGGTTGCACAGCGCCCCCGCTAGGACGGCTCCGGCACTGCGGGTGGAAAGGTTGGCCAGCGCCGGTTGGGAAACACCCAGCTGATAGAGGTGGTGGATGCAGGAGGCCAGGTCCTCTAGGCCCTTGTGTTTCTGCAGGAAACTGCCTGCCTGATGCCACCCTAGGCCATGCTCCCCTCCACCTCTACAGGGCCCAGAAACACCAGTCACATGCTCAGCAGGGACAACGGTCCCCAAGAGACCCTCGTAAATTAGCCACAGTACTTGCCTCCCCTGTGTACTGTTACAGGACAGACAAATTAAAAACCACTTTGTGCCATTAATGCTAAATATTTTGAACATTTAGGTCAGTCACAATACAGATTGTTTACTCAAATGTGACTATGATATTTTAAACTTCATTGTGTGACATTTATTGTAATCTAGGAGGTTGCTATTTAGATAGAGCAAGATTATACCTGTGTATTTCATGGACATTCACACAGGAGATATGTATGCAGCTATGCTAGGCATTTTGAACATGTTCCCAACTTAGTAAATGGCTTTTGAATCAGTCACATGATATGTTGCTTTCACGGTTCTGCTTTGGCCAGAAAAGGAGCGCCAGAAACGTCAGCGCATCCCTCGGCCTAACTGCCCGAGGCATGCTGGGAATTGTAGTACCGAACGTGACAGTAGGCCAGGACCCAGCCGTCTTCTAGCAGCAGCCGCTTCTCCGGGCAGAAAGCCATGTTGAGGTGTAGGCCATAAGCCCCATACACATGCAGCAGCAGTGGCGCCCCCTTCAGGTTGCCCCAGGGAGCTCTGTGGAACACCGTCATTGGGACCAGCGTGCCATCCTGGGGGTAAAGGGAGGTAAATCCGGACATGAACCAGCACAGCGACAAATGCTGGTCTCTCCACAAACTGCAGTTAAACATATCAATGCAGCTGGTATTCTAACTACAGAAGGTGGGTCAGACAGACGGTCTGGTGCCTGGTCACCTGATACATCTCCCTTACCCCCCCCCAGTCCAGACCAGTGTTTGCCTTTCAGCCCATTTGATGGCTCTTGGCAGAGAGTAACACACCCCTATATCACATGACCATAAGCCTTACACATGCATGTCTCGTAGATGGGGATACGTATGTGATCCGGCTGGGATACCTGGCTGCGGGCCTCCAGCCGAGCAGTATGGTGCTCCAGGAGGGGGGGCCCAGCCGTGGCCTCCTCCACAAATAGCTGCCGCTCCCTCAGGCAGTATGAGAATTGGAGGGGCGGCTGCACCGGGGAAGAGAGGCTAAACTGGAACGCGGGGCTGTCCAATCCCAGGCAGGGGCGGGACTCAAACTCACATGCCCATAGGGGGAGCTCACCAAGAAGTGACCAAAAAAGGAAAAAATTCATGGGACCCTCCATATGGATAAATTAGGGTTAAAAACAATACAATCAATAAAGAGTGAGCTTAAACTGCCCACTCGCTCTTACTGTCACAGTAGGATGCACACAGATATTTTCTTCAATATCTATATCTTTAATTTTAGCCACTTTTTTTATTAAAACATGCTACTACATCAGGCAAGAGGACTGAGAGAATGTTAATATAAAACAAAAACAGTTGTTAATCAGTGACCTAACAGAAAGGCTAAACCCCATTTGCAGTGACAGAGGACTGTATAAACTTTAAATGTAAATATAACTTTGTAGATAACGTTTCATCGCGTTCCTGCTCTGGCACTAACACGGCTAACTGCCATAGCGCAGGGGTCAGAGGACACTGCCCAGGGTGCATCATTCACAGCCCTTTCAGCATGCGCTGTTCTTTATCTCTGTAAATGTGTGTCTTCATTTAAAAATACTCAGCTCTGTTGCTGGAATTATAGAAACAGCTCTGGTGACATGAGGCGCTTTCACACCAAAGTTACAGAACCTGGTCCCTGTTTACAAGCTCCTGGGCTTCTGGACCAGGAACTTTTGTAGCTCCTGGCCACTTTCGCATCGCTCTCACACCACACAACAGGAACTGGGGCCTTTATGCCAAATAAGCAGGGGAGACGCAAAAAGCTCATAGATTAAACTTCACACATAATTGCATATTAATAAATAAGTCATTTTGTTAGTTGTTCATTTTTTTATTGGGGAGATAGATTATGATCAAAATGGGACCCAGCTTTTTATTTATATTTTACTTATATGACCCTCTACATGTTTATGATTCTTATGAAATCTGCCAAGCAAATCTATCTTTTGTCTTCAAAAGAATAAAAAACGTAACGTTATCCCGCTAGCAAGCACTGGCAACTTTCACAGCCGGCACGAGCGATATTAGACAAAAGTGTATCAGATAGTCATCAAATTTTTCGATGCAGAGACATGCATGCAAAAAAATTATTAATTGATGCATTAAATTTAATTGAGGTACAAAAATAATTCCATCTGCTCAATTTCTGCTCCGCTAATTGTGTCTCTTTTCCCTGCACTTCTAAGTAACTTCCAAGTTGTGGTCAACCAATCAGAAAGCTACCATGGTAAGTGCCCGCCCAGTAGTTTGTGTTCGAATGAAACATACCTAGTATGGAGTAGGTACTAAAGTAAGGATCCGGAGCAAATAAGGATCTTCTGAGGAACTACAATCGGGGCGAGTTTCTCTGGTGTGAAAGTGACAAAAGTTCCTAATTCTGGAAAAAAGATTCTGGTTCCTGAAAAAAGTTCCTGTGGTGTGAAAGCGCCTATAGTGTTCTTGTGTTCTGGTGCAGCCATAAAGCCCACACCAATAATGGGGGGGGGGGCACTTTTTGACATCCCAAATGGTGTAGTTATGGTCACCAGTGTGTATATGGGTAGAACTCGGGTCACGGTTCAAAAGAATAGTTGTACATTATTCATATTTGTGGGGAAGCTGCATAGTTTTTGTATATCTCATCCTGCAGTCAAGTATATCCAGTTTTGGGGTAAGAGTACATAGTCAGCCAGTGTCTGGTCCCCTTGGGTCAGTTAGACTTACAGGCCTTGCTCAACACTAATATGATTTCTCTGCTGGCTACAGGATTCAAACCAATGCAGTACCAGACATGGATACCAAACCCATTCTGCCGTACATCCCCCTTTCAAGATGCAGGTCAAAAGATTTTAGCTCTCACCTGCACAGTGTAGACCTGGGATGGGTCGGCCAACGGGACCACCTGCAGCCCAAGTGGGCCAGCAGGGGTGCGGACAGCCAAAACGCAGTGGTCCTGGACCACCTCCATGTCCTTCAGGCCTGTCCCGACATCTGGAGTGAACACGGGCACCCAACTCTCCATGCCCGGTGAGGCCAAGGGAGCGCTCAGCACCTTGTGGATCCAAAAAGCGTTCAAGTCATCAACAGTGGTCACATTACTCATTAGGAGATGCACTGTCTTCTGAACGTTGTTGGTGTGAAAATCAAAACTGCACAACTAATGAGCTGTGAAGAACACTCATGCAAATGATTTCAGCATAGTGAAATGCGGGAAATTAGGGTGGAGCTTCTGCAAGGGGTGGAGATTCTTCAAGGGATGAAGCTTTATGAGGGTAGAGATTCGTAAAGGGGCAGAGCTTTTACTGAGGGCAGAACTCACCTGGTACTCCTGGCCTGGTGCGGTGTTAGCGAGGATGTATAGCTGCTTGCCTGTGTGCTCCACGTGATAGATCAGGCCGGAGATCCTTGGCTGGATGAGCCTGGGACATGCCAGGGGCGCATCAGCCTCAACAAGCCACACCTCCGAAGTACTTTTATTGTTGCAGTTCAACGTGACCAAATTGTGGTCTCTGGTGCAGCTGACCTCCACAAAGAATCTGCGGGCCAATGGACACAGAGCATGCTGGGAAAAATGGAGTGCTTCTGGGACCAAGTTATGGCCTGGAGCAAACTGAGCACTCACTCAGGGTCTCGTTCCTCATACACCAGGACAGCCTGTGGCTTTGGTTTCCTCAAGTCCAGGCGGAAGACCCGGCAACTCCTGAGGTCCTCCATGCTGGTGAAGAACAGGACGTCATCAGAGGCCCACTCTACACACAGAAGACAGACAGAAGCATGGCTGTAAGGTCATCCATTGCTCTTGGGAAGGACTACAGACTGAAACACCAAGACTCATCCTGATGATACAGCATATGCTACTTTCTCCAATCACTCAAAGCTGATTTGCAGAAGGTACCGGAAGCCACACCTTTACTGCTGGGTCTAGCATAAGTTCTGTATCTGTCTTATTACTTTGACATCATCTGATCAGCATTAGATTGGACAACTGTCTGCATAGCAGCTTAAGAAAAATGAGTAGAATGACAGTTAATATACACTGCATTTGCTGAGGAAGGCAACCTTTAAATATCATCTGGCTTTGCTCTCATTTTACTACTATATGCCTTTAATAGAAAAGTATGGGCGCTCCTCCTCTCTGACCAAAGCTGAAGACACCATCGAGCTGGAGCAGCAGTCGGGGAGGGTCAGGAGGATCTCCCAGCCTTAAGACGAGGCATTTGGCTTCCTCACTCCCAGAGTCCTTCACGGTGGCGGCCAGGGCATGCTCCCCAGGGGAGAGGCGAACACGCTGCAGACACCCCCCACTGGAGGTATCCAGAATGTCTTGCACATCCTGGCCACCTGATCACATGTGCAGACACACATAGGAATTGTAGTTTGTCCCTGTGTGAGATACACACACCAGCACAATCACACACTATATGATAACACTCTTTTGTACTTTTTTTGGTTACTGTTTTCCTGCTAAGCAATTTAAATATGGCATGTATGGTCCATCTGGACACAGGCCCCTCCCACCAGACAAGAAAACGGCATACTGTTAGCTCTGGGTCTATGTTAACAATACATGAGGATGAAACTCTCAGTTTGAAAGTCGTCGGACAGATTAGGTCTCTGAGCTTAAGATTCTAAAAACAAGCCTGCAATTTACCCTGTCCAATTCGCATTCTGTAAATGTTTCCTCCTTCTTCAAAGTATACATGATGTCGTCCCTGAATCTACAGACAACACAGAATACAAAGTCAACAGTAACACATGAAGGGGGTGCATATTCAATTCAAAACACCTCGTACACATAGTCCCTCGATGGGGTTAGATGTTTCGTTTACTAAGATGTAGAAGACGGAAAAACCCACCACAGTGTTATCGGGAACTTCTGAAAACCTCTGGTACGCATCCCTTACTTCCCTCTTGAAACAACGCTCTTGGTCCCTGTATTTTTGCAACTGTTGCTTAGAAGTCTCCAAAAGATAAGAAGAAACTCCCTATAAACGTTAACAAAAAGACAAAAGAGACCAGAGAAAATAGTTTTATGCCTACATTTTTAAGTATTATTTGTTTATATCAGGATTATGCACCTAACATTGGTGTTAAGTATAAACTCTGTGAAACATTACCCTTGTATGTCAAAGTACGACTTCGGTAACACGGCGCAGATCGTGTGAATGATCACACAATCGCTGTGTGCCTCAATCTCCTATTACAGTATCAGTTACCTCTGCGATCTTTGTTGTCTACATGACCCCGTTTGTAAATTCATTCATAATGCATGTTCACACTCTGTACATCCAACTGGTACTGACAGACGCGTCAGTCTTACCGCACTGCCGCTACGTCGCGATCGTGTCTGACAGAATGACCAGTGTTTACCGCGGAGGCTGGGAACCGACCTCCCAATACTCAATGCTATAAACCGCAACGTGCAAGGGAAGATGATCATGTCGCTGGGTATGTCATCTCTACTGGAACTCAAAACAAGCCTGTTTCTTCCTAATCCTTACAGATCACAAAACATTTCACTTAGGAACCAATATAATAGGATTATTGAAATTTATTTTACATATAGATACCATTAATCCACACGTTAGACTAACTAATCTCCCGCCAGCTTCTTTACACTACTACGGCGCAGTTTGACGTGCAGAAATATACAGCTTGCCGTTCACTGCATGTGCCGGTAGAGGCACGTTCTGCGCTTCTCGATGACGTCCCGAAAGGCATAAGTAATTTATCTCCGATCTCACACAAAGCACCAATATAAGCAACGCTCGATTGTGCCGGAAATGAATTGATTTTGTCTGTTAATTCCGAAGCGAGACGGAAGTGTACGGAAGTGGCATGCTTTCTAGCGCTCTGCGTTATGCCGCGAGCTACACCGCCGCCGCTGACTCTAGCAGGCGCGCGGGAGCGCCAGCGTTGATGAAGACTGACAGATGAGAAGGTTATCACTGTGAAAACGCCCCCTTTTCAGATTTCACCATTGTTCCCTAAACCGATATTTAGAAGATTATGGACGACAACCCGACAACAGGTGTCCCAGAGTTGTACATGAAGAAAGATGTGCCGGGATCGGCGGTGTCAAAGGAAATCGACGGCAAACAGCAGTCAGGCGAGGATAAAAACTGTGGCACTGACGTGGCTCGGGCTCGCTGGAGTCTCCTTAGACAGGTGAAGTACTTAAACGTCTACCTCAGTAATAAGGGTTATATTCTTTATATGCTCCATGCACAAATAGCGTAGAATGTACGTCGCTGTTCAGCCCGCGACGTAATAGCTAGCGTTGTCCATCCTTCCTTCCCCGAAGCCGTACTATCATATGTCAACACTCGAAGCATCTAGTCACTTGCGTGTGGGGTTAGGGTAACGTGCTACAAAAAGCAAATTTCAGATTATATTATTTCAGTTATTGGTTATTAAGCAAACCAATCTTGTTAATTCTCCCTATCTGTGTGGCTAAAAGGTCAGTGCACAACAAGTGTGTCCATTTAATGAAAAGACATGAAGAGAACGGTATGAAATATCAGGTAGACCGGAAAGGTCATTTGAAGTTACTGTTATATCACCAGCTGTTTCGAGCTGTGATACCTGTTGTAGCCGTGAGCCAGGGTCACCTGTGTGTCCTAGTTTGCTGTTATTTAATCGCTCGGCTTGGCCGCCGTGTCCGTGACGCGGCGCTTTGGAGGCTGTGATCATTGCTCGGGGGATTGTCCTGTATATGGGGGCCCAGCGCGGCACCCTGGGGATGCCTAAAAATATAGAACCCAGCAAGGTGAACCTCCGGCTTTCTCCTCTAATCCTAACTGAAGTCATCCTAGAGCTATCCTCAACCGTTACAGCAAAACAACAACAACAACAACAACAACAACAACAATAATAATAATAATAATAATAGTATCTCATTAAAACAAAGCGTATGGTAATAATGGCTTGACTTCCGTGATTCACCGTTTGAGATATTTTTAGATCGGGTTGTGAATGGTTTACATCATGCTAGGTTTACTGTGCTGTTAGATTCGCCTCACTTGTGCGTTGCCTCGGGTAAATAAAAATAAATAAATGTAAATAAATAAGTGTGACATAAATGTATAAATAGGCATTTTAGCGTTTACGCTGAGTGACTCCTTCGTTTTTTTCTGTACAGCTTAGTCTGAGTGTAACAGATCCCGTATAACTGTTGGTGTAGTTTAATTTCTGAGCTAGGTTTAGTTGACCTGTGAAATAGCTGGTGTGATGTTTAGTGGTGGATGACCAGATGTGTGTTCAGGTCAGGTAATAAAGTGATGCCTTCCTGTGTCACGTGAGAGGGTGGCCATGTACTAACATGCTCCCTGGTTTACAGGTGCTAAAGAGGAAGCAACTGAACAGTGAGGAGGTCCAGCAAGTGTCCATCCGTCGGTTCTCTACCTTCAACCTCTTTTCCAGGACAAAAGTCACAGATTCCCCAGCCGACAGCCCCTCATGTGGGACCTGGATTGAGTACAGAAGTGCCTCTTTCCCACAGTTCAGTGCCTTCCTCAGGTGAGTCATGCAGGGATGTTGGGCCCAGTCATTCAAGTCACGTGGAGCATTAGATAGGCGCTCTGTCAACTGTATGCCACACTGCTGTCAGTCAATGTGATTCATTTCATCTCCTCTCTGTCTCCCTCTACTGGCAGTTCACTCCAGCACACTCCCAATCGCACTAGGGCTCTGAAATGAATTCCTTTTGTCCACCCATTCTTCAGCTTGTCCCTTACCCTGCTTATGTTTTTTTCAGAGACAGTCTTGGACCCATCAGAGTGGATGAGGTCCTTAACAGCTTTGACAACACCGGAAATGTCTGTGAGTACAACACACCCGCACACATCCTTCTAGAAATTTGTAATGAAACACAGTTACCACCAATTTTTTTCACGGTATATTAAATAACAGCCACTGTTTTATTAATAAAGAAATCAGTAGTGAACTAGGAGGATTACGGCTGTAGAAATTAAGACAGGAAAAATGTTTCTGGGTGTCAGAGAGAACTGGTCAGCTGCTGAACAAAAACGGCACATTTTATTTATCCATCCATCAATCCATCCATCCATCTGTCCAGCTTCTAACTCAGGGGTCCCGTAATTTTTCCTTGAGGGACAGATTCCATCAGCAACACGAAGCCAAGCTCCACGGCCCCCCCAGATAAAAATCTGCAGATACACACATTAAATAATAATTTAATGACATACTGTGGCCGATTTGACCAAAAAACGTTTGTGAGAGGGATCAGATGCTCAGCCAGCCCGTCTGTTGTTAAGCTGGCTTTAAACAAGTCACAGCAAGGCGAGGTCTTTTCATATCTACCCTACGTTGATTCCCAAAAAGTCAGCTTTGTTACTGGTATCTTTATGCAAAGTGGCATTTTTGGGCTTGATTTAAGTAACACAACCAGGACATGCTGGGGAGCTATCACCCCCTGCTGGCATGGAGGAATGCAGCATCTGCGGCAGCTCTGGCAGCGTGCTGATTTCTGCATTTCTTGTCATTCTCTGTAGCCGTGGTTCATCTGGTTTCCAGCTGAGCCCCCCCCCCCCCTCACCATTGCTGCAGTTGTGAAAGCATCATGAAATCCACACCACACAATTTATTCTGTTAGTTTATTAAAGGGCTAGATTCCTCTTTGGACTTTATGGTAGCCAAGCAGTGAACATTTGTGCGTGTGTCAGGGGGAGGGGGGGGACGTTCAATCGAGCTGTATGGGGCTGAAACTCACAGAAGTAGGAGAATATAAAGTCTTGAAATGACAAAACAGTTTGCAAATGCGACAGTCTTAAGGAAGGATCATCTCTAAGTGAGTAGGGATGCAGGGTCACATAGACTATCCTACATTGTGTGGTTTTTTTTCTTGAAGGGCAAATGTTAAAGGTGGCTTGTGGTGTTGAGAGGCTATTTCGGCTTAGTCCTTCTTCAAAAGGGTTAAGGTTCGTCTTAGGAAGAGGAAGCAGACCTTCCTTATGGTGGAATTCTAGCATTCCAGATCCACCTCCCAGTGACCCCAGTACATGGTTGACCAGACTCTGACTCTTCAGTTCTTAGACAGCGGCAGAGATAAACCACGGGGGCAGATCGGTCGGCATGGGGGAGTTTAGGGGAGGGGGTCCCCCCCCCCCCAGCCCAATTCCAGTTGGTGAGGTCAGTGGTGACTCTTTCAAGCCCTCCTCTCAACCACCTAATTGATCTCACGCATTAGTAGCTCCAAATATTTCCCAAGTTTTTTGCCGGATCGGTTGTGGGGGTGGTGGGGGGTGGGTGCCCATTGTGCTTAGAGCTGTGCTTCTGCCCCCTGTCTCTTGCCCCCTCCCTGCACATCCCAAATGCCCCTAATGACTGTACAAGCAGAAACTCAACGCCTCCCATTCTTCCAAAGCTGTCCTTAAATAAGGCTCCGTCGCTCTCTACAGATTAGAGCGCCAGGCGACCCGGATTTAGGTAATCCACACTCCAGAGGCCATGAGGCCACAGTGGCCCAGCACTCGGGGAGGCAAGGGGCAAGAGTTTGTGGATTTAGCTGGTCCCGTCCCCTGGGCGGATCAGAACATAGACAATGGGCGGTTTGGGGTGGTGGGGGGGGGGGCAGCCTGCGAAGGTTTAGCACGGGTTCGGATTGAGCTGGCTACTCTTTTGTCACATGTTTGAGTTCAGCAAGTCACATTTTTGGCTGAGCTTTAGAAATTTGCCGGTGTGTTTGCCTCTGTGAGTCCCCAGTGCGGTCAGAATCTCCTCAAGAGAGTGTCTGACTTGGTTACCGTTCTGTTTATTCTCCACGCTGAAGGATTTAATTAATTATTGAATTGCCGCAGTTTGGTCAGTCCAGGATAAGAGGCTAAACGGTGGATGGATGAATGTGGTCAATGGAATTCTCCATATTGGCAGCTTTTTTTTAGCTGCTGTGTTAAAAAAAAAAAAAAAGCTACTTCTATCTTTATGTGTGAAAAAAGTGGGAAATTGGGAAATATCCCCATTGCTTACAGTTAACCAGTGAGCGTTTCAGCTCAGAAAATGCAGCCAATATGTAAATATGTTCCTGCATCTGGCACCGGGGGCGCTGGTGTCCCACCGTGGCTTCACTTTGCCCTGCTTGCTCAGACCTTGTCAGCGGATCCTTCCGAAGGTCTGCAATTGTTTGAGGTGCTGCCCCCTCCGGCCCCCTCGTGCTCCCTCACCCCCTCCTCCACCCCCTGTTTGCACCATTATGCAAATTTTAAACTCCTCCACTCCTAATTATATCCAGTTAAACAATGGCTTTCCTCCAGAGCGATGCTAGATCTCGGGGCTGAGACTCTGTCAGTCTCTGTTGACTCTTAACTTTTGTTTTGGTGGTGGTTAATTAGTGGTCCCCAGTGTGCTTTTTACAGCGTGTGGTCTGCAGAGAAGCTCAAAGCGCACAGGCCGCCATCGCCAACATTCACGCTGAGAATTGTTGAAAATTCATCAGGCTGGGAGAGCAGGCCGGAGCTGACAACGTGCTCTTTTACACCTGGTCTTTTTTTTCCCCATTGCATTTTTACATTTTGACTGTAGGACTTGAATCTTGTTCCCTCATTCAGTGTAATGAGCCCCTTGTCAGAATTACTTTAACAGTCATTTTTTGTCTGCTGAATGAATCAGTCCCAGTGGTGGGACGCTTGACCGCATCTGGGAGACCCAGCGGAGTGATTCCTTAGTGGTACTG